ACATACTTTGTCTTAATCAGGATATTAATAAGGAACTAGCAGTTTATGAAGCTTTTGGAATAATCCACCAATTTTTTAAAATTAAACACTATCTAAAGATTTGCATCGAAGCGTTTTTTTTTGATAGTGATTTTAATCACTGTCAGATATCATTATACTTGATCCAACTATGCCACGTCACCACTGTGCCGCGACCCCCCTGTGCTGGGTTTTTTTTTTATTATTATATTAATGATTAATTAATTCATTATATTATTAATCATTAATTATTATTCAAACTGACGTAGAGTTGTGATGTACATTTATTGTTGTTTTCTTTTTAATTCATCACAGATCTATTCCATTTTTTATTAATATTGTAAAATTCTAAATACAGTGTATCTGACCATATCTATTGAACCAATCATAAACAAATAAAGAATTAAAATTAAGTGGGGCACTTAGTGCCCCACTTAGTATAAGTCTTATATCAAAGTTATATTAATAATCATATACGAATAAACCAGTAGAAACTTGACATGTTTCTATAATCATCGTTCAAGGTAATGTTCTAAATATTTATTTTGTTATTATGCTATTTTTGTACATTTTTATTTTATTTTAGTAAAATTGTTAAATGTGCCACAGACTGATGTAGAAACATCTTAGATTGAAACATTTGAAAACAAAATTTAATTCATAGGTGTTTAATAAGTAAACTTTTATAAACTTAATTATTCTGTTCATTTTTCTAAACTTATTCTTATTGTATAAAATTGTTTAGTATTAATCTTCCTCGTGAGAACTAGTGATAAAGTGAAATTTAAAAATTTATAATTTTATTAGTTCTAATAATATTTTTAAAACATTTCCTAAGGATATTTTACAACGGATAAAATCTTATTATAAATATTTCAGAACATGATATTAAAAAAAACAATACACTTCTGTAAATCCTAAAATATATCATAGACACATAATAAATAGGTCTTTATCATTGCGGTTAGAAATGATAGCTCAATCTATCGCTTAAGCCAAATGTGTTTTCAAAATATCATTATGCATTTTATTCGTAGTGGATTGATCAGATGATATTCAAAATCTGAATAACTATTATCTTATAAACTATCATTAAATTTAGAAAGACTCTCTAACTCTTTTAGCTTCGATGCGAAGCTGAGAAGGTATTGGTTTTACTATGATGTGTTTTTTTTTGTGTCTGTTACCACTTTTTCTCAGCTCTCACCGAACGGATTTCTTTCAACGATACGTCAAAAGATCACAAATCGTATCTAGTCGAAGACATTACCCTTCAAAATTGAAAAAATTTCCCTCGTTCCCCGTAAATGGGGGAAACCTCCAAAAAAATTACAAATTTAAAAATCGCTAATTTTCGAAATTTTTTCAATTTTTTTTACTAAAAACTATCATAACTTTTTCAAAAATTAATATATGAATATAATTTTTTTTTTTATAGATGCTTAATGTCTTTACCTATTATTTGGTATATTTTTTTTGTAAATTTGACTTTTTGTCTGCCCACAGGGAGGGGTTTTAAAATGACAACTTTTTCACAAAAAATTAACTTTTTCAACTTAACTTTTGAAAATGTTCCGGAAGGTCTGACACTTTTATATATATCTTAAATTAAAGCTAATGTAATGTACTTTAATTTGAAAAAAAAAA